TTCTCCCTAACAAATAGAATGGGTTTTTCCTCTCAAGGTTCACTTGTTTGACATGTATAGATGTTTTCTGCTTTTTTAAGGATCAATATGCATGTCTTATATTTGGCACTTAAGATCCAGTAGCGCATTCCCATAATTGAAACTGCAAATGAAATTCACGGCGAGCTGCCTGCTTCAGGCAGGTGAAGGAAAAGATCATTAATTCAGACAGCGTATAGTTGCTTGAAGCGGGAGGTTTTGTGACTGTCATGGCGAGAAGTTTGTGCCTTGCTGGGAGATGGGGAGGTTGCTAGACCTGTCTTGGCACGTGGATCTTGCCTCAGGTTCTTCCTCGAGAGCCAACACACATGGCATATGTTTGTGGTAGAGTAATTGAAGGGAAAGTCTTCGAGTATCAAGTGGTAAGAAGTTTAGATGGTTTTGTCGTAGGTGTGCAGGTGGCTATCTCCTAGGTCCAAACTCTTGGGCAGTTGGGCATAAGTGTGCCTCTTCTTGTCTTGCCCCAATTTGGAGCTGACGAAAATTCGGCACCATAATGGCCTCCGGAGCCCTTGCTACGATCTCTTTTGGTGGCCCAGACCTTGTCCTTGACACTCTTGAGAGTGTGGACTCAAGTAGAGAAAGGACAGGAGGGTGCGCCGAGGTGGACCGAGTGCTAGACATCCCCAGCTTTAAGGTAGGGGTGCAAAGCTAGTTGAGTGGATGTGGAATGAGATTTAGTGGGTTTGCAGCATCGACACCTCCCCTTAGAAACCATAGTGATGGTGGCATATGCGTGTGCGCATCATACTCTTGTGTAGTGAGGGTGGCCATGGGGTCGGCCCGGAGCGAGTGAGAGGGTTTGACAATGGAGATGCCAGCCTCTCGACGAAATGCAAGTGGTGAGGTTGCCTTGGGGCCATCATTCATGGTATGCAAATGTGTGTGGTAGTGTGATCGGCAGCTAGGCTGCCAGTGAGGTACTTGTGGATGAGGGGTGGCCTTTGAGGCACTCGAATGAAGTGCCCAACAACTAGGCCACATGTGGGATGCTGTACAAAACGCCTAGGCCACCAGTGGGGTGCTTGTGAGAGAGGGTGGTCTTGTAACCACTCCATGTGGAGACACTGGCGGCTAGGCTGCAAGTGAGCATGTGTGTGGAGGCAATAGCGGCTAGGCTGCCAATATGTGTGCGTGTGAGGTGTGGAGTGGAGACACTTGTTGCTAGGCTGCCAGTGTGAGAGTGTGAGTGAGTGATAGTAGCGGCTAGGGGCTGCTAGTATGATGGTGAGTGTGAGTGAGGGTGGCCTTATGGCCACCCCTGAGTGAGGAACTAGCGGCTAGGCCACCAGTGTCCAGTGTTGTGGAGACACTGGCAGCTAGACCACCCGTGACATGAAGGGGCAGGAGAGGGGTGGCCTTGTGGCCACCCCTGAGTGAGGAACTAGCGGCTAGGCCACCAGTGTCCAGTGTTGTGGAGACACTGGCAGCTAGACCACCCGTGACATGAAGGGGCAGGAGAGGGGTGGCCTTGTGGCCACCCTTGTAGCATGTAGCCGCCAGTGGCTAGGTGTGTTAGTGTGGTGCTGGCCTTTTGGCCACCCATATAAATGGCATCAACAGCTAAGCCATCGGAATGATCAGCAAGTGAGGAGTAATGGGGCTATAGGGTCCCTTCCCAACCCAAATGGGGGCATGATCCTGGGTGCAGGTGGTTGAACCACAGCATAAGGAAGGCAGGAGCAACGGGTGAGCTTGACACCCACCACCTTAGAGACAAGCCTTTGGATTCCGGGATCATAAAATCCCCGATCCGAACATAGGAGTACAGAGACTCTGTGGCCATAAAGTGCATTCGATGAATGAAGCGTTTTAGTGAATAGGAAGAACCAACTTTTGGGTGGTGCATCCCCAGTAGAGTCGCCAGTTAGTCAGCCCTAGATTTTCTTCAAAAAACCCTTTGGAAAACGTGCTTTTTTCTTTTCATTTTGGAAAAAGATAGAGGTGTGTGTCATGCCCCTAGTGTGGGTGGGCATGTGCGTACACAGGTGGCCCCAGTTTACATGCCCACTAGGATATAGCTCGTGACAGGGTGAAGCGATTCAAACCAACAAAAGAAATGTGTGAGGTAAGGCATACCTCGTGAGGATGGGGTTGGATGCATCCAGGCAGGCTGCCCTCTTAGATTCCGATGCCTTGAAGCGCTTGTGAAAAGCCCCCTAGCTTTTGGTCTGCACGGTTTGGAATCGACCTCTTGACAATCCTTGGTTCGGTGCTCCCTTGGGAGCTATGTGCACTCGTACGGTCTGGGTCATATGGACTCTTAGGCTTTGTCTCTTTGGCTTGGAAAAGATGTGCTTGGATGAGGCTTGATGGCTAGACAAGGTAGACAAGGTAATAGGCGCATGACATAATCTGACAGCATTCCGGCATCACCTCCCCTAAGAGGCAATACCGTGGTGACTGTGGAAAAGGTACTAAGCGCACGGCCTAGGTACCCTAGAGAACCTTTAAGGTCAAGACACTGACGGGCCAAACCTTACTAGAGTACGCCTCAGAATACCTCTTGAAGAGTGGTCTAGGTAAGGGAGTATGGTTAGTAGGGAGTACAGGAGGTAGGGAGTATGGGAAGTAGAGAGTACGGAAGGGTGTGTGGTATGGTCTAGGGTGGAAGTGGGGAGTATAGTGGGAGAGGGATATTATCCCTCAAGCCCAATATTTTATCTTTCACTCAAGGGTAGTAGACTTTCAAGAAAGCACAAAGAAAACTATACTCTCTCTCCTAGGTTAAGCACAATTTCAATCTTTTTCAAAAGCCTTTTCAAACATTACAAAGTATGGGGTTCACATAGAGGTAACCCTTGAAACATAGGTGCACACTCAAAACCCATAGGAATTGATGAAAAATAGAATAAAATAAAACAAAAAGTAATCTCGAAATAATGGAAAAATGACAAAAAAAAAGTCCCTAAGAAAACATGTAAATGACATTTAGGTCCCCAAAAAGGAGACTCTTCCCATCCACGTGACTTGGGGCCTTCTTTTCAGTCTTTCTGGTGACGTTTTGGGCGATCCATTGCTTTGAAATGTAGATCGTGTCAAAAGAATCATTTCGATATAAGATTTGCCTAGTGTCATGGAGTTTTGATCGTGTTCTTGCAAATTTTCACTTTTCTGGTCATCATGCAAACTTGTGTCTTCTTTGCTTGATCTTGTCCAAAATGTCGCTCTTATTGTCTTCTTTTTTTGGTAGATCGAAAGAGAAATTGTCATGATCATTTTGCAACAAGAATCGTGTGATTTGGCCTCCAATTGATCGTTTTGTGTTTTGGGGAAGTCGTTGGAAAATTTCTTTTCTGGCGACCTGGAAATTGTGTGCACGTGCGAGCCTTGGACATGTGTCTTCTTAGACTTTATTCTTGGTGTGTTTTACCTTAAATTGAAGCTTTCTGAGTCGCGATCAAAATGCCTCCGACTTTTGGGTCAATCTGACCTTGGGGCTTCGATCGTTGGAGGGAGAGCATGTCAAGCACATAGATTTTCCCCATAATGCATTTTTACACGACCTTCTCTTTAAGATTTCTCTTGACTCAGCTGTCGTCTTCGTCCATGACGTATGTCAAAAATTTGCTCTCGTTGAGGAGCACAACATATCAAAATTTGAGCTCGATCTGCCGTAGATAAAAAGTGTTGCAAGTTTGTCCCATTTTGGGAAGAGGTATCAATTTGTTACTATTTTAGGCAACTAGTTTTGCTTGCCCACACCTAAATAGTAAATGGCCTACCCATTTTAGTAAAGTAAGACCTAGAGAGGTCTGTTTGGTATGAAACATGCTAGTTAATAGTTTGTCGACTTTTTGAAGCCCTCTGCGGTGGTTGGGAGACCATCTAAAATCACTTTCAAGGAATTTTGGCTATGGTGTAGCTTGCACACGTATAGAATGCAATAATCCAAATCGTATCTTCTTCTTGTCTCTTCATGTCTTCACCTACTTGGGACGAAACTTGGAAAAAGACTTTGACATGTTAAAGGCCACGTTTATATTTTTGGGCCCGAGATGATACCCTTGCTAGGGCTCTTCAAAATTGGACTAATTCCGCATGGGCTTATGTGGTTCCTAGGCATATTTGCTGCTTGTGGGCTATAGTTGCAACCCCCTCTTCTTTTATGCGTATGGGGAAAGAGACGCGTCTAAAATAGACACCAACATATGCCTCTGGGTCCAAATTGCCTAAAACCCACGTGTGTACTTGATCCTCAATTTTCCCACATTTTGTTCAAGATTAAATGTTCTCTTAAAGACATTGTTGTTGGGCCTTTTATTCCATCTTGAAGAGTGGGCATTAAGAGTAGGGTTTCATGAGTGACTTGTTGCTTCAAGCAACCCTCTTCCATTCTACCACGGCGACTAAATCGTTGTTTCTTAACGACATTGTCATCTTCCTACCTATGAGAGTGCAATGCACAAAAGCCAGCAAAGTACAACAGCCAGTAATACACAGTGACTAACAAGCCATTGAAATTCATTAATGGCTTTAAGATCACACTCATATTGAATACTCTGTTCATTGATTCCTTCATGCAACCTTCAACAAATCAAATCACCAAAACACTGAAGTCAAATAACTTCCATATTCTAGTTTTCTGGGACCCCGAAACCAACGTTAAAGAAGAATCATGGATATCCAACTAAACTAGAACAATAAAGACAACCACAAATTACACCAATAATAAAATATCATACCCAAGATCACAGGAACATCACAAACCATAACCGATGTAACAAATATCATTCTCATGGCCATCCAAAACTTTACCTATCCATGTAATAAAAATGAACTTTAGCTTCACGAGTGGGCAACTAGGTGATTAAGGTGGTGGGGCACCCCAATTTGAAGTTTGAGTCCCACTCTAGGTGATTAAGGTGGTGGGGCACCCCAATTTGATGTTTGAGTTCCATTCTTACTTCAGGTAGTTATAAAAAATTAAAAAAAGCAAATGTAGGTCCAAATAAAGAAAATTAAAAAAAAAAAATTTGAACTTACATTCATCAATACATAGTGCACAACAGTCAATACAAGCAAATGTACCACTCAAACTAATTCTCCTAAATTAACAAGATAGTTCCAGCTGCAAGGCAGCCTTCGCACCTGCTCATTGATTTCTGTGAAGCCTTCCACCCAAGATCATCAAATAGTTGAGTGCAAGGGCTTTGTTGCATTAAGAATTGTAAAACAACTCTAAAAAAAATTTCCTGTCGCCGCATTCCACCCAACTTAAAAAAGAAGCCTCGAATGTAAGCACAATGTCCAGATGCTCCATGAATCTCTGCCCATTTTGAAGCTTTTGTAGGAGCATGTTTCAAAATTGAGGATCACTCGTAATAAGAGAGAATAAAAACCATATTGGCAAGGGAATATCATCAATCACCCAAATGGTGATGGGCTGGGCCCTGCATTGGCATCAGACCTCTTGATACTGCCCATACCACAAATAATGCAACCGGGTGTTGACAGGGCAGAAAACTTCGAACCACAGAGCTCACACGCATCATGCCCAATGGTGGGCAAACGACTTAAAGTAGCCGCACAGAATTGAGAGGGATCTTCTTGTGGGTCAATGGACTTGTTGGTGAGCCCCCTCTGTATGCATATATCAATCAGACTCCTCAGTTCCTCTTGCTTGTTCGGTGGAGCTTTAGAAAGAAGGAGATCGAGCATAGCCTTAGCATAGGCATAGTTTTGCACATCCATGTTCCTCTTTATTGCAGTTCGAAGGCAATTTATGCGGTGCTTTGCAAGGAGTGCTAGCGAACCCAGATGGCGTGACAGCCTTGCCATTTCCTCCTTGGCACTCACTGCACTGGGGCCTTGCACCTTCTGCAGACGCCCAATTTCCTGCATAATCACATCAGAAATGAAAGGTTCAGATGATACTGTTTTATACCAGAACATGGTAGGAGAAAAAAATCAGAGACCAATAATGAGGTGCAATATAATTGCTTTTGAGCACTATCATGAGAAACAAACTTGACAATTCCCAAGTAAACTAAGTTGGTTAACCCAAAGATTAAAAGCAAAAGACGCATCCCTAGATTAAAAGAGAAAAGGCCACATAAGAATGTCTAATCCACAGATGATTATGCAGAATTCCTTCAACAAACATGCATGTGCTTAATTATGCATTTCGACCAAGTTACAAGGAAAAGAATGTTACGCAGTGTTGAGAAAGGTCCTGCAATGTTTTTTGAGTTATTCATATTTTATCATGCACGCAGAGAACATGCTCAAATAAACCTGAAGCAGGGCCACAGCAATCTTGTACTGAGCGGAAATGGTTGCTTGAGCTTTTATATCAGTCCCACGTGACTGGTCCTTGGCCAGCGCAAGAAAAGCCTCATCCAAACAAGAAAGAGCATCCGAAAGTTGATTCTGCTCCAAGTGGGCAACCCCTGTTTTAAAGCATATCGCAGCAGCAGCCCCACGAGGTACCTAAAACACCAGAACTCTCACTGTAAATGAAAAAAACAAACAAACACATTATGTAGTTAAAACAATTGCTCAATCTTACTCACTTGGCCAGGCCGTACAGCTTTTGGTGGTGAAGGAGGCCTTTTCACCACACCTTGGCTAGTGCCAGGAGTTTCAAGAACAGCAAGATCAAAGGCTGGTGGTGAGGGCACCATGCTTCTAACTTGAGCAGCAGTTGGAGTCTGAGACTGGGGGGGGACCCCACCATCTGGTAGTCCTGTCAACTCCAAAGGAGCCATAGTTGGGGACTGAGCCTGAGGGAGAGGGGGCACCCCGCCATCAGGAAGACCAAACGCACCAGTTGTATGTTCCTGCTGTTGAGTCAAGGACACCGGCACATTGCCATCAACTCCTCGAGACATTTGGTCTAAGCTCTGTATGTATGCCACCGGAGATGGCAAGGAAGCTGCAATCTGGAAAGACGATACAGTATTCTGAAAGAAGTCCTCTGGAATAGGTCCCGCGGATGATACTCCCATACCCATTACCATTGAAGCTGTTTCAACAGCAGATGCTGGAACAGAAACTGACGCCGTAGCAGCAGAAGAGGGAGGAGCCACGGTAGTAACAGAATCAAGCTGAGACCAAGCCAACTCAAGATCTTGGGAGCCTCCAGATGACGATTTAGCTCTAGCCATTGGAGGGCCCAATCCATCACCAAGTTTGAACTGCCTTGTGGCTTCTTTGATCTTATTAACATCAACTGTAGCTGCTGCAACAGGCTTGTCACGTATCCGTATGTGTATCTTCTTTGTTTTCATTGTTCCTTCTTCCTCATCACTGCTACTACCCTCAACTCCATATAGAGGCTTCTTGAAATCCTCCTGTGCCTTTGCCTGCTCATTTGCAGCTGCTGCACCTCCTAAGGATCTAGTAAATGTTTCCGTCACGGTGACTGATTCTGACTTTGCATCAGTGTCAGCTCTATCCTTGGACTGGTTAGATAGTGATTTTGCTAGGGTTGTGTGTGTGCTCTCTGCTTTGCTCTCACCATTCATTGCAGTGAAGGCCTTAACCAAACTGCCTTCTTTCACTTCGATTACATTGCCCCTACCTTTAAGTATTCCCAAGTAAACCCCAATATGGTCAGTGATAATCGAAGGAATACTTCCGTCGTTGGTTTTCATGTATGGCATCACCTCTCCTGCTAGCTCCCACTGTGGTATATCCTTTGTATCAACAGCTCTCTTAATTTCCCAGTTTCCTCCTCCCCATTCAGGCCCTTTAGGAACCATGCTTTCCGCTGCAAAGTTGGCAAAAATACCCTGTGTCCATCCTGTGGACCGAATCCTTAATATCCTTTCAAGATATCTCCTAAGCCCTGGATCTCCACCAGAATCTTCCAATTTCTGTGCAAGACGACGCATGGCACTTGGGTTGAGGTGGCATATAAACAAATCGAGCATGCTCTCAAAGTCTGCAATAACTTCAAAGGTTTCCTTTGCAATATCAAATTGACCAAATCTGTAAGTCAAGCAGAAAACAAAACAGACAGTAAAGATAGAGCTGATAACATGTAACATATTATGTAGAATGGATAAATCTTCGCATGCTTGAATGTCACAAAAATCAAGGTGTTAATGCTCACTATTCTTCACTTGTGAAGGTGGGCAACCCGCCTTCAAACTGACAACATAATCTCCCAATATTTTAAAAATTCCTTTTGTACAAATAATTACATTGAACCCATAGCCCATGAATGGAAGACAAGCCATACAATGGAGAGTCCTATAGGTTCCTTAGGGATGTAGTTCACATATCACCAGTCATGCACTTAGGGAGACGAGGCAACACACAGTATGGCTTGTGCAGTCCCAAGGAACGATATCGTACAGTAAGAAAATTTTTATAGATAGAAGCAAGAATAAAAATATATTAAAAGCACAATAAAATAGAAAAAACAAAATTGAACGTACTTAATACAGGCATAGCCCAATTGTCGAAAACGATGGAACAAATGAGAAGTGGGAGGACACTGTGGATAGTCTCTTGATCGAAGGAACTCATCCTTCAAAACTGAAAGCGCTGTAGGAAATCGGAGGGCTTTGATTGCATAAATGCACCGCAGTACCTGAAGAAAGTTTATGTATATTTAGAGTAAAAATCAAGAATATCAAATAACTTGGGGCAAAAAAATGTAGTGCACCTGAGTAAACTGGGGACCAGCTTGGGCTAATGCTACTGCAAGGTCACCACAAACTGAAGATCCTTTGGCAAGAATATCAAGCGACCTTGGTGTAATGCGCAAGCTATCAAACCTTCATACCACATTATCGTGAAAGACTATTAGACTTTGCAACTAGTATCCAGGATAAAAGCATAAAGAGAAACAAATATTGTACATAAAAAATATTAAGAACCTGCCCAAACAAATTTCAGTGATATCTTGATTATGTTCCTCAAACAAATTGCTCCTACTCTTTACTGGGAAGGAAAGAACCACAGGCATGATACCAGATAAGGACCCACCTGGAGGTCAATTGGTACAGAATTTCAGAAAGATCAAGTTTCTGCTCAAAATTTTGTTGCATGGTAGCGAAACCAATAAGCAGGGGTTCAAGAAGTCCCACAAGACAGCTCTTAATTTCAACCCCTTTCTTTTGCTTGGGATTGATATCAGTAGCGTTTGCAAGAAGTACACGATCATTCAAAGCACCAACCAGCACTGCATGTAAACAAGGAGACATGTCCAAAGGTTCATTGTGATATGTTGAGTTAGTTGCACAACAGAATTTTCTATCTAAGAATCCGTAAATGCCTAAATACAAGTAGATCAATATGCTAATGATATGAAAAAGAGAATAGAAGCATACCAGAATTGGGCATGCTAACTGAGAGAACATTACTAACTCTACTATCCCATCCAAGTATTCCTATTGAAGTTGCTGTTGAAAAGAGGAGGGCTGGTCCAACCCACAAAAGGGATCTATAGTATAGATCAGTTAAGGATTTGGCCCAAATGTAGATCATTAAAAATGAATCGATGAAATTCCGATACAGAATAGCACAAGGAAGAAGAAAAAAGAACAATTTAACAGTTCTGGATATTGAAGGGAAGCCTTTATCAAAGCAACCAGAAGTGGTAGACATTATCTCCAGTTCCACAGAAACAATCAATACCCTGTGTGTTGTCATTATCCCGGCAACATGACCTCTTAGAGTTTCTTGCCAATGAACCTGTAAAGGAGAAGAAAGAATAAAGAATTAAAGTTACATAGTCTGGTCAGGATTCACAGTCAGAGTTTGTTGAGAGCATGAAGTATCATTTCCACATATAACAGAAGAATGGCAGAAGAGTTCATCTTACTTGGGTCCAAACAAGTCCATCTTAACCCCAATAATTCATAATTTTGGTAAAATATTGCATTTGGGCAAGATTTTTCCAAAAACATCACCCCATTTTTGAGCCTTTAACCCGAATCCACTTTCCCTGCAATCTCTCATTTCTCAACCAAATTCTCAAGTTTGATTCAAAATGTTGGTATTGGAGCCCTCTTAAAGATCCCCGAAGAGAATTGTTCGACATAAATACAGAAGGAAGGAAATCAAGAGTTGAAATCTCGGGGATATTTTGAGCCTGAAATTGAAAATTTTTAATATCTCTCTTATTTATTAACAAAATGTGTTCATATTTGTCTAAGATGATTCTATCATAATGATTTGCAAAAGCCCTAAGAAGTTTATTTGAACCAAAAAAAGAAAAAAGAACACTCGAATTTCATTTTTTTTCTCCCCCTTTTCTGCCTTTCATTCAAAAGTTTGTTTTTTTCTTCTAATATTTATTTCAATTTTGTTTTACACCCCAATAAAATTAAATCTAATTTTCGATAATTGCTTTTACGTTTTTTATGTAATTTTTAGGAAGATGTCTATCTGCCTTTTATGTGATCTACATTTAATAATCTATAAAAGTGGATCGCATAAAAGCCAGATAGACCTCTTCCTAGTTAAGAAGATAGATCGACCATTATGTAAACACTGCAAGGTTATCTCAGGAGAGAGTTTGACTATCCAACATAGGCTTGTGGTTATGGACGTCTACATAAAGACATGGAAGAGAAGGGGTTAAAGTAATGGGTGTCAAAGGACTAGGTGGTGGAACTTAAAAATGAGAACATAGACTTATTTAGGGATAATTAGCTGAAGAAAGAAAATGAAACTATGAACATGATGTTAATGTTATAGAATGAGATGGCCGACTGTATCAAGAAAGTGGTAAAAAAAGTTTTAGGAGAATCTAGAGGGAAAAAGAAACTCTAATAAGAAAACTTGGTGGAGGAGTAATGAGGTTCAGAAGGCCATTAGTGAAAAACGATTATGTTATAAAACTTGGCAATATAATAATAACGATCAAAACTTAGAAAAATATAAAAATGCCAAAAAAAACGCTAAACAAATAATAAGTAAAGCTAAACTTAAGACATATGATAATCTTCTATACATAAAATGCCAACAGCTTTGTACACACACATTGTACACACACATGTCATTCACTATTTGCTTCTCACATCTGGGTAGCGGTTTGGATAGTGGTTCGGAGGAAAACAAGCCAAGCTCACACCGCATGTCTATTTATAAAATGTCTATATGCTCCCATGCTACATACTATAATTCATGATCTAAGTATCTATAAAACTAAAATCTCAACTTTTCTGTTTTCATATACTCTTTCCATCATTTTAAAGTAGATCCAAAAAATTAGCAAAATAGACATTTTTATAATGAGTATTTTACACGAGGAAATAAATATACAGTGCGGTATTGTGGGATCGCTATGTCACAAATTTCACTAAGGAAAATAAGGTGCGCGCGCTGAGACACGTTGTATGTAACGTTAACTACATTTAATACTAATAAGACAAAATCTTAATTTTCCTTTTAAGCACTTTTATCTTTTCATTATACAAACATTTTAACATTTAGAATAAAATATTTCACCAATATATAACGTAATAGGAACTTCCCCATAATCAATTTGATTTTTATTATAAAATAAATCTTATTTAGGTAAATTCCATATTCCACTTCATTCAAATATTGATTTTAAAATCATATAAATAATAGGTTAAACTTTGAATTTAAAACATAAATGGGATAATTTCATTTTATGAACATATTTTTAGATAACAAATTCATAAATTTTTAAACGATTTTAAATAATTGGATTTAATTCAAAGTTCCTTAAGTATAATTTAAAGTAGCTCAAGTATAATTCAAAGTGGCTCAGAGAAAGTTTAGATACGATATCATGAATTTTTCTAATGTAAACATAAAACTGGAATTGTAGTGATACTAGAGCCCCAATCGTTTTTTAAAAAATTTAATGTATTGAAATAAATTTGAATTGTATAATGAAGTAAATATTGGATTTAGGTAAATTTTACATTCATGTTTTTTTCCAAAATATTTTGAAAGCTATAAATTTTATATAAAATGTAATGTTGTTAAAAATTTTAAATCGTATTAATAATCATTTCTATAATTGTTGCCCTAATGTAACACTTATTTTAAAGTATAGAGAGAGCACATGGGCCCATGAGTGACATAGATAAAGGCCTTAACCATTTTTATGGGCTAGAACCTTTTTTTTTTAGTTTTTATGGGGGCTTACAATATAAATTTCTTGTCGGGATGGCACTACACAGAGGTTTGGCCCACCTAGGCAGCTGCCTTGGGTGCTTAGGAACATGTCTGCCTACAGCGCCTGCCTAGGCCTATATCAGTCCTCTTTTTTCCCCCAGCTGTTTAGACAGCTAGGTGGTCGAATTTTTGAACAATTAGTGTGGCTATACTTTAGGGTATCTGGCTTGAACAGACAGAAAAAAAAAGATTTAAGAGAAACATTCAAAGGTTAGTACTGTCAGGAAGAGAGTTAGAGATATAACTTTGGTTATTGCTAAAGAGGATTTTACAGGAACCCACACACAAGACTTAGGGAGAAGGTGGAAGGAAGGGGCCTGTAATTGAGCAACATAATGAGTTGCATGTGATACGGAAGGCACACAAAGAAATCTCTTCAAGCTTAACTTAAGCTCTATGGGGAATGTCAGGTTGACCTTTGCAGATAATGTAGGACAAAATGATGTTGAGAGGGGGAGGTCATTGCTCTTCTCACAAACTCAATTTATTCTATCAAACCTTTTCAGTTCCACTAATGGTCGAAGGAGATTCTATAAATGTTATCCGATGGGCAAATAAAGAAAGCCAGGTCCTGTAGAAATTGACAGAGGTGTTATTGAGGGGATGTATGATTTATTCAAGGAAGGGTGGTCTGTTTCCATGATGTACCGTGTAGGGCATAGCCAATCATCAGGTTGGGCTAGGAATCAAAGGCAAGATCTTTATGTAGGATCAGTCTTCCTCAACCTAGTAACACTTTATATGTCTCTCCATTTAACTCTCACCCTATGCCATGTACATCTGATTTCTCTGCGGCCAACTTGATTAAATGGTTTCACACTTAATATTTGCCCTTCCAAATAAGATAAGAAAAGAAAAGAAGGTAACAAACTGATGCTGAATCTAGTGCATAACAGTAGAGTACTTAGGATGCTTAGCACAATGCAAATTTTGAAACATTGTCAAGAAAGATAATGTGGATAAGAGAAGGTCACCTCTCCATCGTTCCAGCAGTCAAAGGCTCTAACAAAATAATTTCTAAAACAAAAAAAAATGTAACACTGTAAAAATTGACACACTAACACCAAATAAGATGCACAATGCAGAAATTTTAGCATAAGAGAAATTAGAAAGCTGTAGTACCTGAAGTATGGTTTCATTTGCCTTTAGAATGATTATCCTCTTCCCTTCAGGTTTTGTTTTTATATATTGGTCATCCTGAGTTGAAAGTCGATATGATTGAAGCAGCCTAGCAAGCCCAATGTGACTCCCATGGCAAGCAAACAATACAGTTAATTCTGCAGCATTTAAGCAACAATTAGTAAATCAATCATCATAAGGAGGTCATTGATTGCTAGAAATATATTCACTAATCACGACTAACCCAACGGCGAAGAAAAGATACGATCAACTTCACTATCGAACGTGAATTGCAGAGGACCCCGATCCGATTGGACATTATTCTCACTAAATGAATCTGGATCCAGTGCCCCATTGCTTCCTTTCACTTCTTGTGGAGCTGTAGCATCATTTTGCAGAGAATACAGAGCTAGGCTGGTTTTGTCATCATCCAAGATAGCATACTTATTCTCTTTAGGGCCAACAAATGCCGCATCTCGGCCTGTTACATTGAAAAGTGAAAAACATTATGCCCATATTACATCAAATGTACCAAAGATGTTTCACATGAGAAACAAGACTAGTAACCTTTAACTGATACTCCTTTACTACTAGCCGACTGGAAATCCATCTGTTCCCAATAGAGTACAACTTCATGTGTAGCACCACCTAACTCAAAAACAATCATAAATAGATGTTGTGTTGAGCTGTAAACCATGTGTTTTGGATAGATCTCGGCATTTGTAGGAACCTGAAACCAGATAATACAAATGAATAAACTAATTGTTAGGCTTCCCAGAAAGCTGTAATAACTAGAAAAATTCCAAACATTACGGTAGCATAAAGCTTCTTGTAAATAGTGTCCACTCCAGAGCAGAGATTATACGCCATAAGGTTGATTCCATCCATGTAAAATGCCCGAACAGGATAATGCAGAATACGATTCTCCTTGTTAAAGAAATTCAGTTCCAAATGAAATGGCTGCAGAGTAACAGGTTATTTGCAGGTCATAAAGAGTCCCAAAAAATAAATACGAGAACAAGAATCGAAATGTGTCTGAAATATTAAAAAAAAGACCTGACAAACAGGGAAATCTCTCAGAAGATGGTTAGTGTCTCTGATAGTGATGAGTGGTAAGCGAGAGATTGGACCACCTTTTGCATGCCCTTCCATGAAATGCTGCATAGAAATATACCATAACTAGCAACTTGGAAGTACACCAACATAAGTAAGCAAAGCACCAACTCCAGGCAAGGTTTAAGCAGTGGATAAGAACGTACACTGTGAAGAAATGCTTTCCTTGCAATATCTGATATTGTGAATTGGTTTTGACTGACACAGAACAAATTTAAGACATCAGTAAATGACTACTTGAGTCATTTATATAATAATCAATGCACTAACAACTCCCAGAAGACAGGAAGATGGACACAATAAAGTGCCTCCATAAAAGCACTAAAAAAGAGACACATTGATTCAAGTGGCTTAAATTGCAGCCTACCCATATTCAGCAGATATATAGAATATAAAAATAACAACCCAGGTTGCACTCATCGAAAGTGCTTCATTGCAACTTCCAACAATGTGTGTTCAAGCCACGTGACGAAGAGTACACTAATGAAACATGGAAATGTATATACTTTTGATACAAGAAGGTCACAATCATTGTCAACTGTTGGATGTGCAATTGAATGGGTCATGATGCATAATCATTTGAGCACAAAGTCCGAAACAAATTTTCTAGAAAGCTATGATACATTTTAATATGTTAGATTTTACATGCAAAGGCTAAGAAAATCTGTGACCATGTACCAAAAATAAATGGTCTCATAGTATACAATCCTATGAAACATATGCAAAAAAATGGTTTCATTAACAAATGATTGACAGCCAAACGCAACTTATAATCGCAGCCCGGAGATATTAAGGTTCTTCAGCACTCGAGATATGATAAATTTCAATAAAATTTGGTACACCATGCTGCTTTAAGAGAAGCTGAAAAAAAAAAGTCATTCCACATTACTCAAACAAATAGAAATATACATAGGGTACTAGACACATGCATAAGGGGATTGCAAGCCACATACACAACACGCGTTGACAACCTCTTCAGAGAGCAATTTCCATAATTGATGTTATAACCCATGCTTGTGGGAATATTAGCAAAAGGATGGGAGACTCCCAAATACTGTATCAGTGTGCATGTGTGTGCATGTGCGTGTATGTGTGTGTGTGAGCCCAAGAAATTATACTGTAGCATAAACCTGTTGGAGGTAGAGGGGGTTGTTAGACCTCAAAATTTCACTTCACATTTATCATCTCATCTAGGTGACCAAAATCAGAAGTGTTGCATAAAGCCTGTGGAGTATACTTGTATTGTAGCACTGACAGTGTCATTGTAGTCCAAGAACACATGTAACTACTGTAAATGAATAGAAGGCAAACATACAATCACATAACACATGTATCATAACAAAATCCTGCTGGACATGACTTAGTCCATTTTTCACTTTTTAGAATCCCTTGTCTTTTTTTCTTTTTTTTTGTAGCTATTAGAATCACTTACTTTTTACTATAAAACCCCCGAGTATGAAATCTATTTGAGTTTTATATTGTATCAAAACAAAGATAGAACCCACAGAAGCAACTCATCCTTATCATGCAATAATAGTGGAAGATCATGAACAACTTATGGTTGATGTCATAATCATACGGTGCTGGCATCATCTGTACAGAAGGAGCAGATTCTCAGATCCGCAATTTCTTATGGGCTTTTACTCAGATGGTCGACCCGAGAATTTTGATACCAAAATTGAAGGGATAGAGTAATTATTTGAAGTTTTTCAACTAGAGTGGTACTTTTCTGGTGTTTTCTTATTCTTGCAATATCTCTTGATAAAGTCTCGCAGCAAGGCATCGTGTGGGACACATTTGTCAAAGGATATCAAATCCATATGGTGCCACAGTAAGCCATATGTAGCACATCTCATTACATGAACGAGTTTGAGTGCATCATAGTTCTTCCCCCTTTGATCGTTCAAAAACAAAAGTGTTCTTCACATAGATCTATTCAATCTCAGACTGCCCTGGTCTAATCAATCTCTTTCTAAGGTTGTTTGAGGTTTGAATCCCTAAAAGGTAGTGTGTTGGTTATTGCTGTTTTGGCCAGACCGATTTTCTTGAATTATTTTTTTAGAGATATCATCATTTGGCACTCAGTCGATGTCCTCAACAACTCGAGATTTAATTGACACTCATCGATTGATCATCTGTTGCTTCTCATCTCAATAGGCATAAGCTCCCTAAAGCTATGGCAATTTGGTCCCAAATATTATAGTATATTACATTATATTATATAGAATAGACAGATAGATACATAGAGAGGCACCTTAGGTGGTCCATCCCAACTGCCTAGGTCATCTATATAATTTAGGAATCTTGCTCAATCTGGAATTTTTCAAATCATCCATACTCATCCCCAATATCAAATTCCTAAAAGAGAAAAAAGATTGAGTCGAAGCACAAAATATTCTTCAAATCAATTCACACTAAAAGGTTGTATCTGCATTGCGTGACTATGGATCTACAGTCCTAAGAACTAAAACCATTTCGTATTCTTTCTCGGAACTGTTTGTATAAATCAAAGATCATATAAAAATTTTCAGAACAAAATAATCCCCAAAATTATGTTTTTGGGGGCTAGACCACTAAATAGGTGGTTACACTAGGTGTTTGCTAGAATGTGCGTGACTGTAATATGAAGCTTGTGGTTTAAAGGCAAACACTACACATCTTTTAAATTATCAACCAAAAAAATGCAATAATACAAATTATTTAACAGCAGCTCTGTTTAAAGAGTTGAAGATTGTTGATAGTGATTCTAGCCTGCCATGGGGCATGTATATGAAGCAAGGTTTTAAAAACAGATCGGTGACCAGATCATCCATCTGGAAATCCAAGTCAGATCGGTACATCGGCGGTCCAAGCTGAAGAATCGGCCAGATTCGACCTTAAAAAAAAAATTAAAACATCTCTAAAATTTCTTAAAAATCTTGATTATTATAGTTTTTCAAAAAAACAACGATATTGCAATATGTTTTTTTTTTTTTTACAAAAACATATAAATACTGACAACTTATCTCACGTCTGAGCGTTTGTTATCCATTAAATTCCGAACACAATCAACAACTCATCTTTTCCGATCTCTGTTATCTAATGGATAAAGAAATATGTGCCAATACACACCGAAATTATTTCTCTTGCCATCTGAATTACTTCAAATTTTAAAAATATATAAAGAATACATTCTTGTGACATTTTGAATTCAAAACTGATTTTATAAGAAGTTCCATCATATTTTGCAAAAATGAATGGGATAAAAAACATTAAAGAGATACAAATGGTTGGATCTTTTAAGAAATTTCATTTCAAATGATTTTTAAATGGTATTATAAGAAGTTTCATTTTGATCCCATTTAAAAATTAAAACTACTTAAAAATCAAACCTATTTCTCTCTTTTTGATGCTGCCTATTTCTCTCGCATTACGCATCTCTTTCCCTCTCTCGTTCTTATCTTTTCTTTCGCCCATCTCTCTTTTGCTTATTCTGTTTGTTTTTGCACCCTCTCTCTCTCTCTCTTCNCTTTCTCTCTCTCTCTCTCTCTCTCTCTCTCTCTCTACTCTCTACGTCTCGTCGTACTACGTACGTACGTACGTACGTACGTACGTACGTACGTA